ATTTTCTGGCTCTGTGTTTTATTTGCAGTATGCGATTACAATTTGCAGTATCTCATCCTGGTTGTAAACTTTAGTATTTTTTGGATCACTAGTCTCATTCGAATGAGAGCGATTGCTCTTTCCCTAATCAATGTAGGGAAATAGACATATACTATTCGTACCGTATTTGCAACATAACATTGTACACTATAAAAATTTTTTTGGGAAACAACAGTTTAAAAGTGCCGTAAAATGTGATAATTCGGATGTAAGCCTCAAGGGTGAAGATAAAACCCATGTCTTAATCTAGTTCATCCCTAATAGCAGTATTCCGGTACCAAAGGATAGAATGGTTCCAGTCGAACCAAAGAATATAGGCAAAAAGGACCCTGTAGTCTTTGGTACTAGTGCGCCGTGATTGCATACATGGGCGGTATTCCGTGCGTTGACTGGGGGAAGTTACAAGCCTTCATCGAAATCGATGATCGAACACACACACACACACACACAAACCCCCCACCTAAGAAAAAACCCTTCGCGCACGCAGGCCTCCTTAGTTGGCTCTTCCCCCCCGCCAAAAAATACGGCGCCTCGATCGATGTCTTGCTTTGGCAACTTTTGCCGGCATATGCCTATGGCGAAAAACCCGTGTTCATATCACACTAAATGCGTTCTAATAGGGGCTAGAAGGGTAGGGAGCGACTCCGTGTATCAGGTGCAATCTGAGCAGGTTCGGTTAAGCCGAAAGTTTATAGTAGCCAGCCCCCTCCTAGTACTGTGAGGGCTTTACTCTCCAGGCCGTTTGAGAAGGAAGTCAGACAGCAAGTAAAAAACTACGTCTACACATTCGGCTTAACCGAGCCTGCCCAGAGTGCACTTAATGCACGTAGTCGCCCCTCACCCCCTACCCGTCTACCCCTATTAGAACGCATTTAGTGTGATCTGAACACGGGTTGTTCGCCATAGGCATATGTCGGCAAAAGTTGCCAAAGCAAGACATCGATCCAGGCGCCGTATTTTTTCGGCGGGGGGAAGAGCCAACTTAGGAGGCCTGCGTGCGCGTAGGGTTTTTTCTTAGGTGGGGGGCTTGTGTGTGTGTGTTCGATCATCGATTTCAATGACGACTTGTAACCTCCCCCAGTCAA